ACAGACTTTTTGAGGGGGTTAATAGTTAATATTTCTGTTCTTGAATTATCTTACTTAAATTGATGTTCCTAGAACTCAAATCGTCTGATCTGTGCTGCTGTCTTTGGGTTTGATGGAGAAGGGACCCTGCGCAACTCCTTACGCTTTTCCCCCAATGGCCTAGTCATCAGCAGCGTTGATATTCAAAGTGTGGAGCCAGTGGACCAACGGACACGGGACGCCCTCCAGCGCAGTGTGCAGCTCGCCATTGAGATCACCACCAACTCTCAGGAAGCTGCTGCTCGGTAGGGAGCAACTGGGGTGGGAAGCAACCAGATTCCCCCTATTCACTTGATATCATTAACAATATGTGTAACTTGCCCCAGAATCTCTGGGCAATTTAAATTTGTTTATTTGATTTTTATTTCACTTTTATTACTTTTATGACAAGTAACTCAAGGCAGTGAAATACCTAACATTCCTTCCACCTCCTATTTTCTCCACAACAACAACCCTGCGGGGTGGGTTGAGCTGAGAGAGAAAGTGATTGCCCCAAAGCCACCTAGCTGGCTTAACGACTAGAACCCACAGTCTCCTGGTGATTAAGTTATTTTCCCCAAGGAGGGGATGACAAGGGTGGGTGATCTCTTCAGATTGCAGGGAAAGGTTAACAGAGAACCTGCATTTATACAGTACTATGGTGGTTATAGGCGCTGAGTGAGCATAAGACTATGAATTTCTACCTCCAGCCACAGAAATGAAAGGGATCACTGAAGGTTTTAGGAAGCTGCCAGGAAAAAAGAAATTTTGATACAGAGGGCACCCCTCTTTTTAAATAAGCAAAACCACAAATATGGAAAAGTTCTTGGGTTTGGTCACTGTTTTACTTTTCTTGGCTTGTGAAAGGGTCAGATATGAAGATATGTGACAAACACCGTTTCTGTGACTTCTGAAATGTCTGCTCTTGCTGACCTAATTCAACTGCAGCTCTGTCACTTTAAGGACAGTTTGAAACACCTAAGCTTTTTCTCTATGGCCATTCAAATTTCCAAGTCTGTTGCTGTAAAGAATGTAGTCTGGATTCCCAGGAGGGAGGGGGTACATTCCCAAGGAACAGGCGACCACACAGTTCTGACAGTTTGTGTGAGCAAAAGAGGGTAAAGACAGCTCCTCCTTAACAGTTCCTAGAGTGTATGTTTTATGTGGTTGGTAGCCTGCTCTAGTTTGGCAAAATTCTATCTAGAGGTGAGGAACAATAAAGAAATCTGCTTGGAAGAATCACATCATCTCTTTCTCGGTTTTTGGAGTCTGACCGTTGCTTTCAAACCATCAAACAACCTACATAATTCTCACTGATCACTTACAGTGGTACCTTCGGTACTCATCGTTAATTGGTTCCGGGAGCTACGTTGAGTACCAAAAATGATGAGTGCCAAACAAATTTTTCCCATAAGAATAATATAGTGAGTCACAAGGCAGCCAACACTGAAAAGTTCTAGCTTGGGCGTTGAGTACCAAACCAACAGTGAGTATTGGGACAAAATCTTCACATCAAAATGTGTTGATTACCAGATTCGATGAGTTTCAAAGCAGTTGAATACCAAGGTACCACTATATTCTTCTCAAGCTTCTTGTTTACTCAAAAACAAAGAAAAATGGAAACAGCCTGTTCTTTCCTTCCTGACAAGCTCTCTTCTAGTTTACACCTGGAGAATGCCTTTGAGCTTTTCCCGGAATAAAGAGATGGATCTTAGATAAGCTTGTTTCCCTTTTTGGTGTTCATTTCCCCTGATCCACTGGCATCCTCTCCCTCTCCAGACATGAGGCAGAGAGGCTGGAACAGGAGGCCCGAGGTCGTCTTGAACGGCAGAAAATCCTTGATCAGGCTGAGGCAGAACGAGCCCGGAAGGACCTGCTGGAGCTGGAAGCACTGTGGTGAGTATGCAGAGTCCAGGTTTTAAGGAAGAACTATGGACATTTGTTCCAAACTTACTTCTTTCCTGCTCTCTGAGGTCCCAGGCAGTGCTAGCTAAGAGCTGGACTCCTTAAATCTGGAGATTGCAAGTTTGGGAAGGCTGATTTAGCCTTTGATTGCATAGTGCAGGGGTAGGTAACCTCGGCTCTTTCATGACTTATGGACTTCAACTCCCAGAATTCCTGAGACAGCATGGCTGGCTCAAGAATTCTGGGAGTTGAAGTCCACCAGTCATAAAAGAGCCAAGGTTGCCTATCCCTGGCATAGTGAAATGCAGTTTCTAAAGGTTCTTTTTCCACTTTCCTATCTTTCCAGCACGGCTGTTGAGAGCACAGGAGCAGCCAAGGCAGAGGCCCAGTCCCGAGCAGAGGCAGCCCGAATTGAAGGAGAAGGAGCTGTTCTGCAGGCCAAGCTGAAGGCTCAAGCTACTGCCATAGAGACTGTGAGTCCTGCCAGTCCTCCCATAAACTTTTTGAGGTTAACTTGATAGATGACTGATGATAATTGCTTGTCAGACTAAGAAGAACATGCTGAATTTTAAAGTCTTTAGATTGCATCCATTGTTCTATATGCAGATAAATTTTGCTCATAGAATGTGTATCTTAATAAACTTTAGGTGGGAAAAATAAAGGCAAACTAGAGAAGACCAATCAGCTGATATAACTTCTCTAGTAGGGAGCAAGAGAAAAAATGGTATGCAGTAGTGCAGTTGTTGCCAGAGTATTTAAGAAGTCACATTGGTAGGTACTTTTCTTCCACTCTGATGTTTGGATCCTGCCTGTGTCCAAGATGCAGCCTGTCCACCATCCTCTCTCCCTCCCTTATTCTCTAAACTTTTCCAGGAATCAGAACTGCAGCGTCTTGCACAAGCCCGGGAACAAGAGCTGCGCTTTGCCAAAGAGCAAGCCGACTTGGATGTGAGCCGGGCAGAAGCTCTGGCTACTGTTGAAGTTAAGAAATTTGAAGCTGTCATCAAATCCCTTGGAGCCAATACTATCCGCGACATTGCAGTGGCTGGGCCAGAGATGCAGGTGAGAAGCAGAGAAAGGAAGAGGGAGGAGGAGAACATTGGCCTTCCAAATAATGGTTGTGCTTAAACTCAAAGTTTACTCATTTTGAGTTAGAATGCAACAGGTACTAGGGCAGTGGTTCTCAACCTGTGGGTCGGGACCCCATTTGGGGTTGAACGACCATTTCACGGGGGTCGCCAAACAACGCAGTCCGCCATTTTTTCCCCCTTTTCCTTAGCTGTGCTACTCCCTTTTATTCTATTGGCTTTTGAAAGCCAATAGAATAGACTCTCTTGAATAGAGTCTAATTCTATTGGCTTTCAAAAGCCAATAGGAATTGTCCAGGCTGTCTCTGCCCTGCTGAGCCCGCCAAAAGTCCCATTCTGCAAACGGTGCTGCACCAGTTGAGTAGTCCTCGACTTACGACCGGTTGAGTAGTCCTTGACTTACGACCGGTTGGGGGTTGCGGCATTAAAAAGGTTGAGAACCACTGTACTAGGGGGATGTGGACTGTAGTCTACCAAAACAAAAACAAAAAAACAAACCCACTGGCAGTGAGGTCAGATCAGCCTTCCCCAGCATGGTTTTCCTCTAATTCTGGTTGGGAAATTCTGGAAATGTCAGTTTTGGAGATTCTCAGTCTTCCAGGTCATGGTTGTCCCAAAGGTGCTGTTTTTCAGGAGGCTACTGGACTTCCTGTTTTTTCTTTGAAGAAGCTTCTTCAGCTCTGACTGGATGGTGGGGAATGGAAGGATTTATATTCCTTACAGACAGCTGGTCATTTGCATTCTTTTAGAAGGTCACTTGGAGGTTTATCTATGTCCTCAGAGTCACCTGAGTAGTGAAAATGTGGAGCCTTCTTGGCTGCAGCATGTTTTCTGCCCTGTGTCCTTTCACTGTTGAAGACAGGCACAAACTGTTGTGGATGAGTCTGTCTTGTCTGCATCTCAAACTGAAGCGCAAACGGTTCCTGTAGTCAGCAATGTTTTCTGGAAATCGTTCATGCTCCCTCGCCATTCAAAGGGTGTTCATCCCAAAGTGCATCGCTAAATATCTAGGGAGATTCTCAGTCATCCAGGACAGGGTTGTCCCAAAGGTGTTTTTTCAGGAGGCAACTGTGAATTCTACCATATGGAGAACACCAGGCTGGGCCAAATGGCATGAAGACCCAAGGCAGGGGGGAACATTCCTACTAATATAAGCACAGGGCACAGTAAACTATAGGTAGTTCTCGACTTACAACCACAGTTGAGTCCAAAATTTCCACTGGTAAGCAAGACAGCTGAGTTGTGCCCCATTTTACGATCTTTTTGCCACAGTTGTTAAGTGAATCACTGCAGTTGTTAAGTGAATCTGGCTTTTCCCTCCCATTGACTTTGCTTGTTAGAAGCCAGATGGAAAGGTTGTGAATGGTGATCACACAACCGCAGGATAGTGCAAGTGTCATAAATACATGCCAGTTGCCAAGCACCCAAATTTTGAGCAGGTGATCATGGGAATGCTGCAACGGTTGTGTGAAAACTGGTCATAAGTCATTTTTTTCAACTTCAAGCGGTCACTAAATGAATGGTTATAAGCCGAGGACTACCTGTACAAGAGCAGGAGCAGCCAGCTATATATCTCAGATGCCACACTGTGATAGCAAATTAGAAATATCCATCTGAGATTTTGAAACCCCGATGCATGACATTTTGCTTTCTATTCCTTGCAGGTCAAATTGCTCCAGGGTCTGGGAATCCAGTCCACCCTCATTACAGATGGTTCTTCTCCTATTAACCTCTTCACAACTGCTGGAGGAATGCTGGGGATCCTGCCCAAGCCTTCGGAGACATGAAATCAAGAGTATCAAGATGAATATTCTCTATTATTACTTAAATGAGTGCCTTACAAGAACATGCCAGGGGACCATGTGCTTCCCCAGAATGTGTGAATCTTTTGATGGGGGCAAAGTATAAAATAAACATCTTTTCTGTTGCATAGCATCCTCTGCTTTGCTGTTAATTTTTTGGGGAATGATTGTTCCTGGGAATAACGATAGAACCTGGATGGGTGGGGTGGTGGAATCTTGGCTGTTGTGCTGGAAAAGTCAGCTGGAATGTGAGGAGAGAAGCATGCACTGTGAGGTCATCCGGTATGTGTGTTTAGATGGGAGAGAGAGAGAGACTGATCCATTATGCCAAGCCAATGCAGTCTTTGTTTCTCTGCATCTTATGCAATTTTGCAAAACTCTCCAAGGAAAAATGGATCGATCAACTAATGGAAGGTGAGCCCAGGCCCTCTTGCCCAGCTTTCTCCATTTATCTAAAATTTAATATTATCCACCTTAATTCTACAGTTACATCTACTGCAAGAAAAGTAAATTTAGCTTGGTGTGCTTAGTTCAAGCACAACAGATCTCGGGTTAAGTTCCTGCATCTCTGGTTAAAACAGTGGCCATATGTGGTCAGATCTGCTACCATCTAGTGATCATCCATGTTTTTGCAGGCAAGCTATTGTAACTAATTAAAAGGAAACTTCAGTCTTAGTTTGGGATTATACAACACCAAGCCATGGTTTGTTCAACTATGGTATGGCAAAATAACACAATCTCATTCAACATACCAAACTAGAACCAAATCATCCATATGAGGAATGAACCCAGACTCTAAAAAGATGAAGTCAAGATTATCTTATTGTTAACGAATCCACTCTTTGAAGTTTTCAGCATAAATTTCAGCAGTTTCTTAGAGCCTGTGTGCATCTGAAAAAAAAAAATCTGTTCACAATATAATTCCACAAATCTATATGGATGCGGCTTTTATCTTAGAATTGTGTTTAGGTAGCCTCTCCAGCATAGTGTGAAAAGGCTAACCCCAATGCCAGATCAAAGTTGATTCTAGTTCTGTGATAACACTATTTAAAAGTGATTAATGCCTTTTTAAACTACAAAAGAGATGTTGAAATGACTTGGGAAATTTCAAGAGCTTACTATCATAGTGGTATCCACATATAGTCATACAGAAAAAAATATTTTGATAAACTCCAGCACTTTTTCATTAGTTCCTGGCTATATGCATTGCAGTCAGAAAATGTTTGTTCATTTTATAAACAAAGACCTGGGGAACAGTTAATTGATCACACAATTGATGGGAACTGAATGCTTAAAAGAGACCTTCCATAAAATGTTAAAGGAGAGAAGGTAGATAGAAAAGTTATGACTGAACGTAAGGATGGTTACGTTTGAAGAATAAAGTGATTATCCACCAGCTCTGAAAATGGATATAAAAGTAAGGGAAGAAAGATATTTTGTCCTTGATCAGTAATAATATGAAACCAATTTAAGAAGTATTAACTTCCCTTTGATATCAGAATGCTTTCCTGTGTTCTCTGATGGATGTGCTTCTTATTTCTTTGGCCCACAGCACCGGCAGAAAAACTAGAAGATGCCAATGAGACAATGGAGTCCTTATCCCACGAGGCACTCTGGTTTGACTACCCTGACTCCGATAAAGAGAAGATCCTAGCTGTCTATAAGTTTATTGGAGAAAAGCCCGAATTTATTGCTCCAAGTGAGATATCAGTTTGTATTCACCTCTAGGGCAGTGTTTCTCAACCTCCACAACTTAAAGATGGGTGGACTTCAACTCCCAGAATTCCCTGGCTGGCTGAGGAATTCTGGTAGTTGAAGTCCACCCATCTTAAAGTTGATAAGGTTGAGAAACACTGTTCTAGGGATGGCCAGAATCTCCTCAGGGAAGACTGAAATCAGGCAACAGGCAACACTTGAAAACTGTAGCATGGGGCTAAAAGAAGCATACATCGCCCACGCGTGTGATTATCTTCCCTTATGTTACAGCTTTAATTCCTCCCTCTCCCCCCTCTTCCACGTTGAGGCTTCTAAACCTGTTTATTAGAAAAGGAAGTCCAAGGGAGGATCACTTGCTTGACGCAACACATAGATTATGCCTCCAAATCCCTGCCCTGGCTTTTTTACAGGATTCCTGCTTGTTAGATCCTAAGCCAGTAAACAACCCTCCCAGCTTATTTCTGAGCAGTGGGCTTCCTCAGTCTCTGCTAGAATTGTGGTGGCCCATGAGAAGCCCCCTTTCTCTCTCTCTTCCAGGCGCCTTCCCTCAGCTGTTGCGCCACATCTTAGTGGGATCCATTCTCCTCATCCTGCTGTTCTTTGTTTTTCAGATTGTCCAAGCGTAAGTGTTGCACCGGCCTACATCTTTTAGGCCTTGGCTGGAACCCCTTCCCCTGGTGCTCTCAAGAGCCACATTTTGTGCCCACCCATTTCCTCCTGGATCTGATTTCCCATTCTTCCTCATTTCAGGCTTTTTCGTAAACAACACAACTAGAGAAGACGACTAGAGTTCCTGAGCCAAACAGCTTGTCCTCTGCTCTTTTCCACTGTCCTTCCTGTTAAGTAAAAGGCCTTTGAATTTGTATGCATTTGCAAGATATTCATTGATGAAGAAACAATGCATCAGGCTAGAAAGTGGGAGACTCTGAATTCAAGTCCCACCTTAGCCACGAAAGCTGGCCAGGTGACTTTGGGCCAAATACTGGGAGACAGTGAGTTCTGATTCCATCTTAGGCATAAAAGGTGGCTGGGCCAGTCCCTCTTTCTCAGCTGAACTCACCTCACAATATTGTTGTGGGGAAAATGGGAGGAGAAAGATGTGCTGGATATGTTTGCCACCTTGTGTTATTTGTAAAAATAATAAAGGTGGGATATAAATCAGTAAAGAAATAAAAGAAGATTAAAGAGGGAGAGTTGTAAAGACAGGTTTTAAAGAAAGAATGATCCAAATACTGTACAGGGCTCGGCAATACACACAGGACTGGGGATTTGGAATTAATAAATGACACACACAGCCCCTCTGCTGACAGTAGATAAAGGCTCCTTTAATACTTGGCAGACCTTGGGTTATAAATACATTCCCCCCCTGCTCTTTATTTACAGCTAGATTCCTGCCCTATGAAGTGAAAAAGGGTCCAGGAGTGAGCAATGAAGGGATTCTGTGCCGAACAGAGGAAGATGTCAAGAGGAGAGGAATATGTGTTTCCCCTGCTTGGTTATTGCTATGGGGAGGAGGAGACGTGTTTTTTAAGCAGCACCCCTCTGATCATCTTGCTACAGAGGATAAATGTGTGTTTGTGTGTGTGTGCTCACATCCACACCCACATATGAATGAATTAAATATCCTGGGTAGATGACATTCCAGTAATACTGAAGACCATGTATTTTACTAGCATCCAAAAAAATGATAAGTGTTTCCTTATTGGTTATTCTACAAATATAACTAATTCTGCTGATAGGTCCCCTATTGCTGCCTGGGGTGAGGGCAAGCCAAACCCAGTATTTTTCTCCATCATGTTTACATGTGATAGAGATTCTGCAACTCTAAAGAAAATAGGATTGGGGGGAATTTGACTTAATCTTGCTATCCAATGGTATAACCCCTGCTTTCAGGTAATAGTATCACCCCATGCAAGCCACATGGGTCTCTCCTTGGTTAGCAATGCTCAGAAAATTTTAGGTTATCTAATCATAGTCTAGCAAGCAATAGCCACTATGCATTCTTCAGCTTGGCAGAGTCCTGATGCATTAGAAACCTAGTTTTGCTCTACAGGCCCACATCCGGTTGATTCTTGATCTACTTGTGCCCCACTAGCCTGAATATCTCCCAACATAGATAACCTCAGTATTCCCATTGGTTTAGGATTACACTCTGGTTCAAACCCTACCCAACTCATAAACATTTCAAAATACTGACAGCATTGCAAATTTAGAGGGTTTCCTTTGACAAAGGATATCCACATAGCAAACCAAGGAATACTTTGGTTTTATGCCCTCTAAAGACTTCCTTTGAGACATCCCCCCTTCCCAGACCCTCCCATTTCCCTTTTGGCCTAGGAGCCAGCTTCCCCACTCCCTCCCATCACCCCAATAAATAAGTCATAGGGGGAAAAGGCAGCTTGTCCGTTTGCAGCGGTGGGAGGGGGCAAGAGAGCCATTAGTCCAGTGCCTGGGTATCCATCCTGTGCCCGTTTCGCACTACTTGATCCTTGGTGGTACCCCGGGCACGGAAGACACGGAACGCTCCGCGGCAGATGAGGCCAAACCAATATATCTGGGGAGCCATGAGGATGGCCGATCCCAAGTTGTACTCGGCAGGGATGGAGAAGGGTACACGGTAGAAGGGCAAGCCAGCATATTGCCCATAAACCCAGTACATATATGGAAAGAGCAGGATTCGGCAGCAAAAGAATGTGAGTAGCATGGCCATGCCATTCACCTTGTGGAGAAGAGTGTGCTGCTGCTTGTACTGCGGAGAGAGGGGGAAAAAAAAGAGTTAAAAGGCAAATTCAGGTCGGGTTGGCTAACACTTCCACTTCTCTCTCTAGCACCAGGAGAGCCTCTTCTGCCTTCCCATTAGGTCTTTATTTAGATACGTACGGTCTCCCAACTTATCCTAGCAACTCTGGGCATCTAATAAATTATATTACCGTATAAAATGTCAACAAACCAAACAACAAATATATAAAACCTATACAGATAGTCCTCGACTTATGACCGCAATGGGGATCAGAATTTCTTTTGAAAAGCAAGGTGGTTATTAAGTGAGTCACACAGTCATTAAGGGAATCTGACTTTACTTATCGGAAGCCAGTTGGGAAGGTTGCGAATGGCGGTCATGTGATTCCAGGACTCTGCGACTATCATAAATACATGCCAGTTACCAAGAGCCCGAATTTTGATCATGGGACTGTAGGGGTGCTGCAGTAGTAATTTTTTCAGGGCAGCAGTAACTTTGAACGGTCACTAAGTCAATGCAGGTAGTCCTCAACTTACAGCAGTCAATTTAGTGACCATTCCAAGTTACATCATTGAAAAAAGTGACTTATGACCTTTTTTTCACTCTTATAACCAGGGCTTTTTTTGTCATAGAACGCCCAGAACGGAGTTCCGGCACCTTTTTTGGATGGGACCTTGTAGGGTATGCAAGGCGGGTTGTATGACGCATATGAGTTCCGGCACCTTTTTTTTTTTTTTAGAAAAAAAGCACTGCTTATAACTGTTGTAGCATCCTCGTGGTCACATGATTTACATTTAGATCCTTGACAATTGACTCACATTTATGACGGTGTCCCGGAGTCATGTGATTGCCTTTTGTGACCTTCTGACAAGCAATGTCAGATTCACTGAAGAACCGTGTTGCTAATTTAGCACCTGCAGTGATTCACTTAATAAATGTGTCAAGGAAAGTAGTAAAATGGGGCAAAACTCACTTAACAAATTTCTCACTTAGCAACTGCAGGGCTCAATTGCGATCATAAGTGGAGGGTTACCTGTGGTTATTAGTCAAGGAGTATTTGTAATGTACACCAAGGGTAAAAACTAATCTGAACCTTTCTCTTATCCCGTTCCCCTAAGAGAAGCTCGGTAGCAGATTGTACTCACCAGGATGAGAACCTTGCCCAGGCAGACAAAGGGGGTGCTGAGTTCAGCCATCAACATGCAACCCAGAAAGAAGTCACCTTTGCCTTGACGCCACAGCTGAAGGGGGGAAAGGGATAAACATGGCAGACCTGGGTGGGTGGGGCAGCATCTTCTAAAGCACAGCAACCTTATATGCAGCTTCTGCTACATGGATCAATAGCCCATCCCTTCCTTTCCCGTCCTCATCTGTGCACACGGGTCCCCCCTGGTCCCACTCACCACGGACACAGGGAAGCAAACCAACACCATGAAAAGATGGTGAATCACCATCAGTAATTCCTTGTGCAAGTAGGCACGGATGGCAGTGTGCAGCGTCTGGGCCTCAACGCATCTTGACTCATGCCCTTTGACCTGGTACCTGTGCCAATGGCATAAGAACATAGCATAGATATCGTAGATGAAGTAGGGGACGGCAAATTGGGTGTAGTTGGAAGTCAGCCAGTGCCTGCAGGAGATGAAAAGGGGTAAAGGAATATAAGCAGCTAATAGACACAGTAATCCCTGCAGATAACTTGAGCCATGAGCAAAGGGGATGGAAGAGCAGGACACTCTCCACTCCTCTGAAACAGACTCAAGGCCACAATCAATGAGGAATTGATGACATGCTGATGTGTTTCACTCTCAAGGACAATGGTAACATAGATTCTGCTTTGCTCACATCGTCCTGCGCTCGCGCTCTCTCTCTCTCACTCCCACTCCCACTCCCTGATCCTGATCACAATCTTCTGCTCCTGGAGCAAATGTGGTCTCTCTCCAGTTCTCTTCCCCCACTTTCTACTTGCTTACAGCTTTATTTCTAAGATACTCTAGACACTGCTGCATCTAGGACAGCTTTACTCTTAGCAATTCCTCCCTACTTATTGGATCCATGTGACTCCCTCTGGCTTTTATGAACAGGATGCTTTGGCTTGCTAGCATCCAGCTGGGACCCATCCTTTCAACTTTGCTTAGAAACCCAACAACTCTATTAATAGGCACTGAGATTCATGTAAATTCAGAACCCTGCACTTAGTCTCATTATACTTTAAACCTACTTTAAGAATTGCTTGGACGGGACTAATTTTTGAAAATGCTAAAGAGCAACTGAAATAGAGATAAATAAAACAGGATTTCTTTACAAATGGGACCCAAGTTCTTAACCATCATATCCCTTGTTCAGCTCTCTTTGCTATCTCTCCCCCTCTCCCAAACATTTCTGCTGACGATACTCTCTGCTCCATGCAAAATGATTAGGCCAAATGCCAAAGCAGCAGTGCAATGCAGGATGCTAAGCTCAAACGTCCTTGTGAAGTCCAGACCTAAGGAAAAGTAGGGCATTTGGGTCTGAAGCATATTTAGGAGGACTGGGCTGTATGTTTTGAGGACAGGTACAGCAGTATTTGACTTCCATGCTGAAGGACCTACATAGGAAGTGTTCTTTCTTGATTTTTTAGTCACAAGGGTCAATGAAGAGGATACTTCAAAAATGTTGAAATGTTGCCAGTGAAACCTCACGCTACTTCCCAGAAGGAGATATGCTGTGTAAGGGGCACTGTGACATTTTTTGTGAAAATAAAAATGCTGAGGTAGTTTTCAAATCCTTAAGAGAAGTCTTATCTCATAGCTCCCTCCTTCTGTGCATATCCAATTGGAGCTCATGGCAGAGGACCCAACAATTCAACTTCCCTCTGGTTTAACCTCCTCCTCTCCTAAGGGCCCTGGAGTTCTTCGTCACTGGCTGCCCAATAAAACTTAATTACACATCCACAGAATGCAAATCAGCAATGGAAACAGCTGTTCCTTTGGTCTAATTCCCTCTGCTGCTCCCACATGCCTATCTAACATCACCCAGGGAGGAAATTAATCCCAACTAAATTCATTAATGAGAAACTAAACTATCCTTGTGAAAAAAGAAAGGACATGATAGAAATAGATTCAACTACACCCCCTGCCATAACTTACAGCCACCCTAAACTTTCATCTCTACCCTGTTCTGTCCTCAGAATTCCCCAGTGTGGACTTGTGCTGCATTTCCAGTCTTTCGTGTCCTGCAGAACTGCCCTACTGCCAAATTGGATTCTGCAGAAACTGGCAGTCCTCCCAGAAGCCAGAGGGACTGACAAATCTGATCCTGGAGCTTATTTCCAGCACATATTGTGGAAATCAACTCTCCCATATATTGTATGAGGATTTAGGAATACAGGACGGGAATGGGACGACTCACTGTAATTTGAGTGGGGCTGTCCATGGTGCTGAAAAGGGAAGTTACCAACTCCGAGGGCCCAGGTTTTTTTCACAGCACCATGGACAGCACTTTATTGTGCAAGTTCAGCAAGGCTTGGCTTCTGCCATCTTGCTACTTTTGTCTTACTTTAATATCTCTACTAGTTTCGTGTGGGTGCAATCCTTATATGCAAAGCATCTTGTCTCCACCATCCCCATAATCTTGAAATACTTCATTTTGGAACAGCATCCTGAGCACACTCTTTCTGGGTCTACAAACCAGTGCCTGACCCTACACTGCTATCGTCCATAGCACTCCTGCTGGTGACCCCAAACTCTCTGTCCTGCTCCCAGCTTCCTGATCCAGCCTACTCATTGCGGTACATCTGCTCGGAACATGTCACTGTCATCCTGTTCTAAATTTGGTGCCACTCCTGGCGCAGGTATCAAGTTTCTCAGTAGTGTGACCTTGCCAAGATGCTATCTGGGCTGCACTCAGAAAATAAGGTAGAGATGGGGTTGGGGTAAGAATAATATTACTGCACCATAGGGCTGCCCTGGCATTACACCATAAATTCTGACTTACTGGTCATCGATAATGTGCTTGCAGGATGAGGAGATGATGTAGCCAACTGTGGAAGCCATAATGGCCTGCACTGAGGAGACAAGCCTGTGATAGGAGAATAGGAAATGGTAAGAAGTTTAAGTAACTGTGTTTTCTCCTTCTCTTGGATTCTAGAACCTATTTCCATTTTAGATCTGAAGTTATGAGGCTAAAACAGTAGCTCTCAATCCCAATCTGATACTCTGGGAGCCGGCCTAGACTATTACTTCGCTCCAGAATTCTGCCAGCCTTGACCAACAGTTTTAATTCCAACCCACCCACCTTCCACCATCCCATAACAACTGCCATTGGTTAGATACATTTGGAGATAAGTAGCAATGGCTAAACGGTTCAGCTGCCCATTGACCCGGCTACATTCTTAAGTAATTCCAAAAATCAATCAACAGAGAGGCTTTCATGCTTAAAAGAAAACATTTTACATGATTAGGACAACTCAGTGTCCCCCCACCCCATCTTAGAAGACATCCCTGAGGCTTTCACTACATGCCACTTTTTTTTTTAAGCATCTCTTACTATATCCCAACAAAACACCTAGCCTCCTGAAAGACTCCTTTTTCAACGAATTTCCATTTTGAGTATTTTAACTCACAGCTTAACAAACACTGACTCCGATAACCCGTTTGGTGACACCTCTATCCCAGCCTCAAAACACCCTGTTAAGACTTGACTTTCATGAGTTATCACTACTGTTGGGTTATCAAGAGGTGGCAGTGACACCCTTTTGGTTCTCACTGTGTTGGTTGCTTTTCCTATGATGGTCCCATTCCCATTGTGGGGTCCTAGGAATATCTACTGGCTCACAGCCTCAATACAATGCTTCTTCCAAAAAATCCTGGTCACTTTTCTATTTATAGAGATTCCTTATGAGTCCAAGAGAGTTTGAAACTCAGTGCACCCTACTCTATTCCCAGTGAGCCTAAGGATTGGCTTCCAGCTTTAACCTCTCCTTCTGAAGCCACCAGGAAAGCTTACTAGGGATGAGGACACCACTCCCCCTCCAAAAAACCCTCTCCCTTCTCATTCCATCTCCCCAGGATCCGCAGTTCCCCCCTTTTCCTTAAAACCCCCCACATCAAACTAACACACCTATCAGCTATCCTTGAGGCCTTCTGCCTGCCCTCCTTCCTACCCACCCTCTGGACTGCTGGCATCCCCTCCTGCATCCCTGGTTACCTGGCTGAGACGATGACCGCGTCAGCCTCCTCCCATCGCAGGCCCGGTAGCCACTTGAGGCCGTTCTTGGACAACAGGAAGAGGCCAGGAAAGACAATGGTCCCTGCTACCAAGGCGTGAAACATCTCGCTCAGGCTGCAGGGTTGGGGTGATGGGGGGAGGAGGAGGAAGGAGGGCAGAGCGGAGGAGGGGGAGGGTCAGTGGGGCTGGGATCCCTCCGGGTGTCCACGAGGAAGGCTCATGGTCCCCCAGGGGACAAGGGGGGATGGAGAGGGAAGGGGGGATGGCGGTGGGAGGGTTGGTCCCTAGCAGAGCTGCTGTGACAGACACAGAGAGAGACACAGTCGGGGGAAGGAAGGAGGGAGGGAGGGAGGGAGGGGGAGCAGCTGTCAGCACAGTGCGGGAGCAACTTAAAGAGACAGTGGACTGCGCTGTGCAGATGGACCGGCAGAAAGAAGAGCAGGGTAGCACAGCTCAGTGTTGAATAGTCACAGCTAAAGAAGCTCAGGGCCCAGTTTGCAAGGCATGGTGGGAGACGGAAGATGAGATCTGTATATGGGTGGAGAAGGATTGTGGGGAACCTGCCAGTTGGGGGACGAAGCCAGGTAGGATGGATCTGACTCAGGATTGGAAGCCTAAACTGGAGGTTTAGGACATCTCAGAGGGATGAGGCTAGAGAGCCAGATTTCATTGTCCTTAACATCCTGCGGCAGAGTCTGCTAAGTTAATCCGTTGCTTCTTTCCATCTGAGAGCAGGTTGAGCCTTGTTCCCCCTTTTCCAAAGCAGCTAATCAGGCATCATCATTTAACCCCCACAACACCGAAGCCTAACTTCCTTGCGCTCTCCTTCTTCCCTTCTCTGGCAGGATCGCTGGAAATTTAGCTAAGCCTATAATCTCAGCTCAGTTTGTGGAAAGGAAAGAGACTATGGGGCAGCTAACCCATTCCCCTCCTAATGCATTAAGGGATAATCTTCCACCTGCTAAGAGGTGACCCTGATACAACCTTTGATAGGTAAAAGAGAAATTGGCTGCCAGAAGGAAATAACTAAATCAGTAGTGACACCTTACGGCTGACTGTGAGCATTGTATCATGCTGGTTTTGTCAAACAGGGATGGGCAGAAGTGGTTGGGCTGGCTGGGTGGGTGGGCGGATGCTCCTGGAAGAGCTGTGAGTGATTTTCTCCCCTAGTCTTTTAGCCTGTGGTTTTAGATTTCCAGGGAGTCTCCCACCTGGCAGTTACATAGACGGCAAAGCAGAATTCCATTTTCCAGACGTGCACCAGGATCCAACGCAGGACATAATAAAAACTGGGATAAGCAACCAAACCCAGAAGGAAGAAGTAGGAGAACTGTCAGAGCAAAGGACAGGATTCAACAGTTAAAGCAACCAATTTTTGTCTAAGCAACACTGGTCTTATTGCCTTTCCTCCTAAACCCACAAAGAATCTTTGAGTATTAGTTTGGTAAAGTGGGTTTCATTGGTTTATTAATGACACACCCTCCCACTTTTTGAGGATAGTGCAACTATTCCATTGGCTACTCAAGCTTTTTTCAGGTACAAATGCATGCAGATCCAATTTATCATGCGCTATTAGTTCCACCTTGACTTGACTTTTACCACAGGAAGCAATAAATCTCTGATACATTTTTTAAAAACCCAAATTAGTACCAGTTTGCTGATTCTGAAATAGTTCAGAGATTTTACTGGTTACAGACTAAGCATACCCTCTTCTTGCCATTGTTCCAGCAAGAGAAATGGCCTTTTTAGTCTTTAAATAACCAGTTCATTATAAAAAAAGTGAGGTTGTGATGGCATTGACTAAAAATATTAATATGTGTGTAATAAAAATGTTGGTTGATTAAATACATAATTGGGACTGTCTTGCTGGATCAGATCAGAAGCCTATCAAGAACTGTGGAATTTGTTATTATGCTTCGGGGTAGTATACCACGTGGAGGAGGCATAAACAATAATGCCTAAATATAAGAAAAATATGAAGGGATTTGTGTACAGTTATCTTGGAAGTATGCCTAATATCTGAAAGATTGTCCCATAAATTACACAGCAAATTGTTTTTTGTTTGCTCCAAATTTAGGAGCCAAACAGGGATTACTTGAACAAGGATTTGATGAAATATTAAGACCTCCCTGTTGATACAACATTTAATAGCAGAGTTGATCATCTGAGAAACTGGTGGACCCTTCATTGGCATTAAGCAGAGGTAAGATAACTAACCACTGTATCTGGGAGGAGGTTTTTTCTTCCTTTCCCCTCTACTGTGGATTAAAACTCTTAACCATTCCAGTTAAGAGATCAGTTAGGGTTGCATAATGTATTTACTAATCTATAAGGTCATTTGTTTGATTTTGTTAACTTCGTTGGGCATTGTGGTTTCTAAGACACAATTAAAGCTCAGAGTGTTAGTGAACCCATCCAATTTTGACTTATTTAATACACTGATCAGGCAAGCCGGGGCTAACATACAAACATGCATTTACCCATATGTAAACCCAGCCAGCTTCTTCCCCTGTTTACTGCCTCTGTGAAACCAATTGAGAAGGAATGTAGACATACTAACTAGAGCTTAGCTGTTTACTCACCAGTTCCTCTGCCATCCTAGTGAACCCAGGAAAGGTGAGAAATGAAATCCATGTAATTCCATAGGTCCTCCTTTATGGAGGGTACTTCATATTATCAAGATGCTTCCCTGAAGGGCTAATTAAGAAATATTCATAAGATAAAAGAGTTTTACTTTTATAATAATGAAGCAATCAAGTTGGAACATTTGGTTAATTAATTCAGTGGAAGAAATGACTTGTGTGACAGTGAAATAATGTATTGCCTAACAATTATCAGAATAGCACAAACTAATTAAATAGCATTTCAAATCCCTACACAGTGATGAGGATTACTTGGGTTCAGCCTACCTCCTAGGGTTAGTGTGATTCTAAATTGGGGGAGGGCATGGCACCCCCCCCCAGGATAAGTTTCTTGAAGGAAGAATGTGGCAAAATACTTAACAAAATAAGTATTTGTGTGGGGAATGTGGAATAAAGGACAAGTAAATCGCAGTTTTTATCGTAATAAAATACAAAGCAGTGAAAACTGCTAATCTTTAAATCTCATTAATTTGAACAAGTTATTTCCAGTGCTATCTGGCTAAGTACATTTCACATGTATGGACTTGCTCTAGATATGTCGATATAGAATTGCAATCAAAATCAATTGTTTTGAACATAATGGTACTGGAATTGATTTACTTTGGGCAAGAGAGACACAGAAATTGTGTGTAGTATGTAAATACATAGCTCGAGCTACATTCACCATATCTCCTGAATAAATTCCCTATTCTCTGATCCATATCCTAGGTAGGTGTATTTGTTTTTATCTTTAATTCAGCCCTTGCACTTGATTTAGGATGCCTTGTGTTTACAGCAGAAAATTCCTTTCCTAATACTAAATTATTTCTGTTGACCTAAGTTGCAATGAAGCTTGTTGCTTCTGACTGGAAAAATAACAAGGGATAAGAATTACAAAGAAAATGGGCAGGAGATACTATATCAATTTACCCTACAGATTGTATACAGTAACCTGGTTCATACAGCCATAATGTGATTTATTTTGCTTTGGCTTGTATGCGAACAATTGTGGCCTATTATTTAGTGCATTAAGCAGCCACCCATAGTTTAACCAACTAACCATGATTTGCAAATGATTTAGTTATTATGTGAATGCCACTAGCATTAAAAGTAGAGTTGCAACTCTGGATTGCAAAGGATTAGTCTTATTTTAGCACAACATGCAATCAATTTAGTGTCCTGGAGGATTTAGATGAGTTTTGAATATAGCCCAGGCAGGGCAAAAAGAGCCAATTTTCCAAGACACAGATATGCCCACGGAATTTGTATAAAATAGCCCCTTGATTATGCCTTTAAGATATTAATTCTATAATTTATTGAAATATAAGCATTATGTATTTATGTTATCTATTTCTGTCTCCGTTTCAGCTCAAGCAACTGTAAGAGTTACAGAAAACAAAAAGAAACATGGAGAAATCACATACATACACACACACACAGACATACAAATCCAGTCGGCTGGATAATAAATTACTTATACATAATTGACACATTTCACATATTTAGTAAGCCTTACCAACAATTCACTGTTAAGGATTACATTTCTTTAAGAGATCTAACAATTCAACAGGGAAGCAATGATTTATGTTTTTAATTCTCTTGTGTGTTAATGGATTTTAAGGGCAGGACAGTTTGTTACTAATAATATGTGTATATGCCTTCGTGTTAGTTTATGCCTCCTGGCAATTGCCTGGACATGTCTTTACAGTTTTCTTTGCAAAGTTTTTGGAAGTGGTTTGCCACTGCCTGCTTCCTAGGGCTAAGAGTGACTGGCCCAAGGTCACCCAGCAGGTTTCATACTTATGGCATGACTGGACTAGAACTCTCAGTCTCCCAGTTTTTTGCCTGATGCTTTAACTCAGGGATGTTAAACTGCCAGCCCACGGGCTGGTTGCATCATACGGAGGCCGCGTCCACCCCAGCTCCAGCAATGCAAAAAAAGTCACCATATGTCACAACATGTCATGCCATGCGGCAAGTTTGACACCCGTGCCTTAACTATTATATCAAACTAACTTTCTAATAATAATGAATTCTTACTTATTTTGATAAATTATGAGTCAGAATTAGCTGAAAAGGCGAACAACCTGTAAACTATTAATAAAAGTCTAGGGACACAATGAAAAAAAACAGGACTAAAATAAATACAAAGAAAACCAAATTAATGACAACAGGTACAATAACCAGCCTTACACTTGACAATTAAGATATTGAGGTAGTGGGTAGCTTTTGCCTTTTAGGATCAACAAGAAACAAGAAGTCATAAAACACAGTACATTGCAGACCAGCAATGCTAAAATGCCCATGAAGACTTTGGAAAAGGTATTCAAATGCTGTGATGTCTATAGCTTCAAAAATCTACAGTGTTTTCCCCAAAATAAGTCCAACTGGATAATAAACTCTAGCATGATTTTTCAGGACACTCATATACTGTAAGCCCCATCCCAAAAATAAGCCCCAGTTAAGATTGTCAGCCAGACAGATGCATTTAGTACTGTATTTTCCTGAAAATAAGGCCTAACCAGAAAATGAGCCCTAATGCATCTTTTGGAACAAAACTTAATATAGGACCTGGTCTTATTTTTGGGGAAACAGGGTATGAAGAATCAGGTTAGGAAGAGTATTGATGCTTTTGAATTTTAGTGTTGAAGACTCCTGAGAATACCACAGACAGCTAAGAAAATAAACAAATGGATCACTGAACAAATCAACCCAGTGGACAAATAACCTGGCTCAAATTAGTCTGGACACCTTGTGGGAAGATCTAGCTCTCTATTGCTGGGAAAGGTGAAAGGAAAGAGAAGAGGATAGCCATGGATACAATGTTGGAAGACCTGAAGGCAAGCTTAGGGACAGATCATCACGAAGACAATCTACTATATGTGGTCACTAAGAGTCAACAATGACTTTATGGCACATAATCAGAGGAGCAACTGTTCAAATGTTTTATCCTTCATGGAAAATTAAATATTAATCCTAGAATGGAAATTCTATAATCTAATATGCTGCAGCCCGATGCTCCCCAATATATTGGATTACAACTTCCAGATTTCTCAGCCTGAAAGGACTGACATTGGTGGAGCCTATTAACATTTGAATATTTGTGCGAAAGGGGATGGGGGATATGCCATGATTTCTAAGTGTTGTTCCAACATACCTTTAATAGTTGTAATGTACCTGTCATAACGTATCTTCTGCCGGTATCATAGAGCCTAGATTTCAATCTGATGACTGCCCTAGGACAACAATATCTGGGCTGCAAATCTCTTGATGATTAATAGATGTCAGCAAAAGGTTGTGGTTAGCCTCTGTTTGTTGCTCTCTTGTGACCACCTCAAAGCAATGTAGCACAAATTGGTAACGGCACTCTGGGCAGTATACAGCATCAGCATATTGCCCCCAACAATCTGGGTTCTCATTTTACCAACTTCAGAAAGATGGAAAGCTGAGTCAAGTTTCAGCCAGTCAGGATCAAACTCCTGGCTTTGGGTACAGTTTGTTTCCAGCACTGTATTGTAACCACTGCGCCACCAAGGACCTATATCTATTTGAAACTGAATTGCATTTTATATAAAATCTTGATTTATTCCAACTGTGGGGAGGAGTTTCCCACTGAAGATGAATACTTAAGGATGAAATCACTTTTGAAGCTTTTACACTGATACTGACTTGGCCAGCCTTATAAATCTTTAAATAAGCAATTAAATGCAATAGAAATTGTTAATGCGTAACATCTGGGGAAGCAGTGGCTGATTGAAGATAGCTCTATTCTCACAGAACGAAAGATCTCAGCAAAAAGAGAAGCCAGCGAATGGAAGAGCTCCTTGAAACTCCAGATTAAGGAAAGGACTAGTCCAGGGGAGGCAACCTTGGCTCTTTTATGACTCGTGGACTTCAACTCCCAGAATTCCTGAGCCAGCATGGCTCAGCATGGAAACCTCTCCCTTTCCCCTCAGCATGGCTGGCTCAGGAATTCTGGGAGTTGAAGTCCACGAGTCATAAAAGGGCCAAGGTTGCCTACCCCTGGACTAGGACTATCTCCAGGCTTGCTCTATGCAGTGTCTACCCTCAAAGAGATTGCAAAATAGCAATCTCCAGTGGGCTTGAGCCCTCTAAAAGGCAGGGGGAAATATCTTGCCCAGAATGGGCAATGAATATTCCCAAGGGACCACATGAGAAACTGGAAGTTTTGTGATGGGCTGAACCAATGTAAATTGATTTGATGTCCTCAAATTCCATCGGCTCAACTCCTTAGGCTGCTCCAGGTGAGGGGTGAATGCTGCACAGGTGCAGAAAAGAACTTTCTCTTCTCATTCTTCTGTGACCACCAACCAATTCAAGGAGCCAGACCTGACTTGGCTTCTTCTACCCGCCCACCCCCATATACAGTTGATTTCTAATTTCTGATTGACTTCATGTGGGCCAGACTGGGACAGCCAAATGGCCTGGGGGCCATACAATGCCCAGGTCTGGTCTGGCCTAAGCCCAGATTCAGTGCCTTCAGACAGACACTGGATTGGCCCACTTCCTCTTATCTACTTTAGGAATTTCTTGTTATTGATTTTCAGGATGTTAAGAATCTTCTGAAGGGCAAGAGAGAACCAGAGAGAACTAAGCATTACAATTACAGGAAAGGAGAATGTTAAATACAACAGAGCAATACTATTTGGCTGTTGAAGAAATTAAGTTTGTTTGGGAACAATGTACTCAGAAATTGGTTATAAGATTGTCTGATACAATAAAAATGGATTTATCAGAGGATATAGAAGGACAGATTTTACTAACAGAGATTGGGGCTGATTGAAAATGGATATGGAAAAAGATGCTGTGGGTTTGAAAATGGATTTATCCTGAACAACAAGACTGATATTTAAAGGGATGCTATAATGAAACCAGCTAATGTCTTAATAATTAAAGAGGACATACAAATAACAAATCAGAAGAATGATTTTGAAAACCTTATTTGGTTTTATAAACAGGATGTGTTGAATTACTGAAGCTGTTCCTGAAAGGAGACAGAGAAAGTGATAAGAAATCAATTTGTGGGATATCATTTGATAGGATTAAAGATTATGTTTTTAAAAAATAAATGGAAGATAAGTGAATTTATTTGACCAGGGTTAAAACATATGTGTTGTGGTTTCTGTTTCCTATTAATGACCAGGGCTGAATGATAAGGCTTTAAAGATCTGTGTATAAATGGGGAGTGATTTCTTCTGCTTTTCTTTTTAGAGGAAGGGATAACTTGGAATACAAAATGGATTCATATGACTAAAGTTAAAATAAGTTATTATTTCTAATAGCTCTTCATTGCTTTTTGCTGATTAAAACCGAGTTTTTATAATTTGATATTGATAAGAAATGAGATATGAGATCATTTTAAAAATTGAAACAAAAGAAAAAGTATTAGTTTGCTGTCACTGTTTCTACTTATCTGGAGGGGGGGGTCATTTTTATATATCTTTTATTTTTTTACTTTATTTCTTTCTACTTTGCATTTTTTTCTTTACACTTTAGGTTTTTCTTCGTTTGAATTATTTATCTTCATATCTGTAACCTTTAACAACATTGTTTTAATAAATAAATGGTTAATATATTAGTCTACTATGCTACATAGAAAACACAAAAATATAGAAAAGTTGAACCCTCTTAGAATAGATAAATACATTTGTTTGCTAAAGTCGGAATCATGCTTCAAGAAATGCAGTCTTCCAGAAAAGTACCGGTAATGCAACGCAACGAGCTAAACACTTTCCTTTAGTGACGTCATAGCCAGATGTGCCAGTGCTTAATGGTTTTTAAGGACGGGGAGAGCATCTCTCCTCCCTTCAGACTGAATAAATTTGCATCGTGAGCCCCGCTTCCTCCCCGCTTCCGCCAGCTAGGGAGCTAATTAACGAGTGATGATTGGCATATTTGAATTCCTGCGGAGCATCTTCAGGGGCCCTTAAACATGCTGGCCAATGAAAAGCCCGCTCCTCTCTACCCTCCCGCCCACCTGCCACGAGCCTCTCTCGAGTCCCCGGAATACCCTGTGGCCGCCACCTTGAAAGTTTGCCGTTCCCACAGCAACGATAAAGGTGCCGCAACGAGAGCAGGCGGGAAGGCGCTTTTTGCGCATGCGTAACATGGTATCCGCTCTTAAGGTAGAGACAGAAAAAGGAAGAGTTAAAAGTCCCATTGGATCAGATGTCTTAAGAGAAGTGGGGTCGCCATCCCATTTATTTCCCTTTCTTTTTTGCTTCTTCTGGGCACAGAGGATGATTTAACAGGCCATCTGGAAGATAAACCGGCTTTCCCTTTGTATAGGATAAGTTAATAATAATAATGACTTAAACTTGCATTCCTCCACCATTCAGGGCGGCTCGCAGTCATCAAACGTCAATAAAATCAATAAAGCAAATAATGAAATATGATATTTAAGGATATTAATGTTGATAGATAATACAAAATAAATATTTAATATTAAACATATTATTAAACATATTGTTCAAAATGTACTTGGATTGTTGATTTATACCCATTTAAGAGTTTCCTTCCATATATGAGTTATCAAGTCAATAATGCAACCATTCAGAAAACTCTTGCATAGTAGATAAAAGTTCTTACTATGCAAAGCATGGTAGCCCATGATTTCTATAGTGGCCAGAGGCACTTTGAGGCTTTTACCAACAAATGCAAACCTTTGCAACCTTCAAAAAGCAGTAACCTCACCCAGGAAACCATTTTTACCTTAAAAACAGCTTTCACATAGCTGTAAAAACATTGGAAAGGGTTTCCATGTTAGGGTTTTGGATTTTTTCTTTTTGCTAGATACAGTCTTGATGTAAGTAGTAAAAAACAATGATTTTAAGATAATATACTAAAGTTGTATGCTGTCCATCTCATTCTGCAGAGCGATCCTATATGGGATAATAGACTGGTTAAACATGAGACTCAAACAGTGCAAAAATTAAGGCCGGTGTAGCTTGAACAATTACAAGTATAAACCGACAAAACGGGAAAAGTGGAAAACAGAATGAAATCTGACAGTGGCTCTCCCTCCACCTTGAAAGACTGAATCTTCTGTCCACCATCGCTGAGCACTGGCGCTTGCGCAGTACCGTAGAGCTGGAGCGCTTCTTTAGAACGAGGCAAATGCGTAGGTCTGGCATGTGAGAGAACGGACGAGGGAGGCCGCTACGAACTTCCAATTGGAACACGTCTTTTGAATCTTTCCCACCTCGTCTCATCATTCTGGGTTTATGATTGGTGACTATAATGATCGAAGGGCCCGCCGAAGAGCAGACTTGTTGCTGGGTGGGTTTGTAAAAGAAACGAGCCGCTGAACTCTGTATAGATTAAATAGCAAAAAACCAACAATCCTTTGTCCTGGGCTATTAGCAATATAACAAATTAGTGTATAACTTATGCTGCTGATGGAATAAGAAAGGCTTGGATTCCCATAAACATTGAAATATTGTCGTCCCCCCTTATTATATCGATGGAAAAATCCTCCGCTTGCCTCTCCCCGATGACGTCAGTTGGGGAGGCAGTTGCCGTATTTCTGCCAGAACGTGGAGGAGGGGGCTTCTGCTTCAGATGGCAGATGATCCAGAATTGATATGGGAAGCATTTCTCGATGACGTCACTGGTTCCCTTGATTCTTCCGCGAGCCGCACGGCTTCAGGAATTTTGGTCGTGATGGGAACCCGTAGGAGCCTGCCACAACGTTGGAGTGGAACTAGTTCCCTTGGCGACGGAGGAACGCGATTTTGATTTTAGATCCCGGGTTGTTGTTTTTTTACTCGATCCTTTTCTCCACAACAACCATGTGAGGTTAGGCCGAGAGAAGGAGCGACCCAGAGAAATTCGGGATTTGACCTGAAGTATTCCTGGCGGGAGGAAAACCCGAGAACTGTGAAAACGGACATTGGTTGACTTCATAGAAGCCCTTGCGGAGTTATTGGTTGGTTCACGAAGCGCCTACTGTAATCTCGATGCTTATAAATATTAACTAAGCAACTTGCTGGAAGATGAGCGACACCCATAGGGTGAATGCTAATGGGAAATGATTTAACAAGTTATGGGGCTTGAGAGAGGAATGTCGGATTAAGGATGCTTTCTAACGCGGTGTTTTTCAAACTTGAGAATTTTAAGATTGTGTAGACTTCTACTCCCAGAATTCCGCAGCCAGCAATTTCCTTACTGGCTGAGGAATTCTGGGAATTGAAGTCCACATAGCTTAAAGTGGCTCAGTTTGAATTCTCTAGGGTGAGAATTTTTTATGTAATATTCACAATCAGGGAAGCAGTTTGGGGTAGGAAATTGTGTAGGTGGCCCAATAAAGACAACTATTGAATTCACATCCTGCAATCTGAAAAATAGTTTATATTTTCATTACAAATTCATTAGCCGATCTGAAAATCTGTGGTGCATATAGAAGTTACAAAAAAAAGACGAGAGCCTAAGATCTGCTCTTGAACAAGACTTGGCTTGCTTTAAATTTACGCTGCTTGAAAAGTATGTATATGTATGTATTTATATGGAAACAGGAACTTAGATTAAGTCCTGACTGGTTTTTGATCAATTCCATTATGCTTATGTGATGCAATTTATTGACAACATTCTCTTTCTCTTAAGACTGTTTGACATCTATGGAGCCTCCAGACTCATTTCCCAACTGAGAAATGGCAGTAAGTGCAGCACCCATCTTAGACTTCTATGCAGGCTGTTCAATAATTCCCCTTTCCTGGCTCTCCATTGGAATGGTACTGGACTTCATAAATATACTTACAGATCAGTTATCTTAGAAGCCCAGAGTTCAAACCCAAATATTTTGAACATTGACTGTTGTGAAATAATCTCAGTTTTAAGCATTTGATAACTGTCATATATGTAATATATAGCACAAAATGCAGTAAACATGTCATGGTATATGCTATATGTTACTTGCTTGTATTTGCTGTTTAGCAGGAGTATTAATCTAAAAGATTACCTGACTTCCAAACTTTTCATAACTAGAGGAACTATACATTTGGTATAAAGACTTCCAGTTGGTGCTGTTTGATTTGTTAATGTTTAGTTGAGGTTTACCAGACAAGCCAATTTAGTCTAGTGGTTAAGGCATCAGACTAAAAAGCAGAAGATTACAAGTTCAAATCACATCTTCACCATGGAAGCTAGCTGGGTGACTTTGGGCCAGTTTCTCTCTCAGTTCAACCCAGTCGTAGGGCTGTTGTGGAGAGAATAGGAGGAGGATGGTGTACCACCTTGAATTATTTATAAAAATAATAAAGGTGAAATACACATTAAATAAAAAATAAATAAATTGATATTGAACCTAAGTTGTCTTGCATGCAACTCCATTTATGCCTCCTTACTCCTCACCCCTCCTGCTGTCAACCTACCTTTGACTTTTTCCATCTTACAGACTCCACCGCTGAATCCTCCACCAGATCTCCCCTTTGCTGCCACCTTGTTCCTGCCCCTCCCTGCCATCGTTTTCTTGGTTGTTGGTTCCTACCTGCTGCTCCTCATTCTGGTCCTGGTCCTCAGACAGTGCCTACTGGTAACTGGGAGAAGCGATAGTCAGCACTTGGGATTTAGAGATGACAGGATAAATAAGATTTAAACTATTTTCCATATTAATACTGCTGTTATTTCAGCAGTATATTAAGAGAACAGTTGTCCATTAGAAAATGAGCAAAAATAATTCATTTAGGCACTAATCTTGTGAAATCCTGACTGGATTCTCATTTACACAAATTGCATCGATTATTCCATATAGTCAGATCTATTTTCCACTATTACCTTACTTAGTCTTACCGTAGCTTTTTCTCCAAAGATTGCTAACATGCATTGTTGCTGCTTAGACACTTATGGATTACAGATAATCCTTGACTTACAACCATTTCTTTAATGACTGTTCAAAGTTACAGTGGTACTGAAAAGAGTAGCTTATGACCATTTTTCACATTAGCAACCATTGCAGCGTTCCCATGGCCATATGATCAAAATTCAGACGCTTGGCAACTGGTTTGTATTCATGATGGTTGCAGTGTCCTGGGATCATGTGATCACCTTTTGTGACCTTTGGATAAACAAAAGTCAGTGGGGAAGCCAGATTTACTTAAGAACTGTGTTACCAACTAAACAACTGCAGGGATTCACTTAACTACTGTGGCAAGAAAAATGGGGAAAAACTCAATTGTCTCACTTAGCAACAGAAACTTTGGGCTCAATTGTGGTCATAAGTCGAGGACTACCTGTACTTGCAATATGTAAATCTAAAAAATAAATTATATAGGAGCTTTGACCAGTGAGAATCAATACAGATGGAATGGCTTGTAATTATTTTGTAATTAAGCTATATCTGGTTTTGCTTTTTAATACTGCTGCTCAGGCCAGAGGTTTTTGTGCCAATTGCTGTTCCTGTGAGAAGCGGTCTTGGCCAACTTTGTGTGAATGCTGTATGGCGTGTGCCGAATCATGTAACTGTGCCCTTCCCACTCCAAATCGTTGTCTAGATCACTGCTGTTCTTGTGCTAATGTGAGTTTTCTCAAAGCCCTATTTTTCTAGAGTAAGAAGGTAGCTGGTTTAGATAATCAGTTGTTAAAAATCTGTTGAATGCCTATGGTAAAACCTTCAGCCTTTAGCAAATACAAGGGGTGTCTGTAAAATGGAAAATATATTTTTGGTCCAACCTAAAATAAACACATTGTGTCCTTTAAGTTTTGCAAAATTATTCAGATGGCTGTGGGTCAGTAGAATTGAAACCTTGAACATTTTGTTTTTTTCTGGATTTGGGTCAAGACAGTATTCAAAAGACAAGGTTGGTGTTGGATTTAGACTGGGGAGTAGCGTTATTTGGCTACACAGATAGTCCTCATTGAACGACCATTCAGTTAGCGACCCTTCAAAGTTACAACAGTGCTGAAGAAGGGGCACTTGCAATAGGTCCTCCTGGTTGCAACCATTGCACTGTCCTGTGGTCATGTGATTATGATTCAGGCACTTGGCAACTGATTCGTAATTACAACATTGTAGCATCCTGTGGTAACGTGATTGCCAGTTGCAACCTTCGTTGCTGGCTTCTGATAGACAAAGTCAATGAGGAAGCTGGCAGGAGGTTGCAAATGGCAGGTATGTCACCACAAGATGCTGTTACTGCACAAGATTCACGAGGTAGGTAAAATGAGGACCCAGATTGTTGGGGGCAATGTAAACATATATATACATTGCTTACTGGTGTACACCGCTTAGAGAGTGCTTGCACTTAAAGCGGTATATAAGTCTCATAAAATAAATAAATAAATAAATAAATAAATAAATTTAGAGTTGCCCGCAACTGCCCGTAGCTGTTGCCACCTACTACATAACAAAGGGGTTGATGGGTAAATGGAGGTTGCAGAAAACTGCAACTGCAGATGCGCCAATGCAAACACCTCCCAAATCCCAACACCTCTTCTGTGCTTTACTGTTTGGGAACCCCCTAACCAGAACATTAAAATTCATTGACATATATAAAAGGGACAGCTATGCAACCGTCCCCAAACGACATATGCATACGTTCCATCTCACATGCAATGCTGGAGAAGTCTGCTCCAACCTTAAGTTGTCATGGCCACATGACATTGCCCTTTATGACTGCATCACTTTGTGATAGGGTTGCTTCTCCTAATTTTCATCTTTAAGTGAGGACTACCTTTATTGTTGAGTGGCCTTCATTTTACGAGGGAACCAAATTATCTAAGCATCCACCAGTCATGCTATAAATATGTCCCTAGATTTCTGACTAAAAAAGACAGCAGTCTCCTAGAACAAAGAGTCTAGCCATGGAGAAAAATCAGAATTTCTGGATGTCTACGTTTGTAGGAAAAGTTATATCGGTTAATAAAATGTGCCCAATTAACTGAACATCACTTTTTGTTAGCTTTTAAAAGTATGATTGGTTTAAAAAAATCAAAAACAACCCTTCTCAATAAAACAGACAAGAGACAATGTCTGTTTTAAGCATGTAATATCATCTCAAAGCCAAGAAAAATTAATTATTTTTAGAGTTTTTCTCCTCAAAGAGTAACAGGCAGATTTGATAAATTGAATGATTTAAGTTATATTTTAAATTTTGAGCTGAAAAGCATAGATGACTGAGAAATAAAGCCAATACATAGTGGAGTAGTAACCATGAGGTCATACTTAAAAATGAATGGAATACAGGTAATCCTTAATTTACAATCACAGTGGTGCTGGTCCATTTTGGTTGTAAGTCATAATAGTTGTAAATTAGGACACCCATGTGACCAACCCAATTTTACACTTTATTGTGACGATTGTTAAGCAAACCCATTGTTTGCTATGGGCCATTTTTGCTGAACGCCAGAAGTAAATGTTGAATTTCAGCAAAAATGTCCTAAAACATGTTCATGTGACTGCAGGATGCTGCAAACGGTAATGTCAGCTGGTTTCTGAGTGACATGCAATCACATAATGGGGGGGGGGAGAGAAACAGCCACTGGAACTTTGGAACCAGGTCATAAGTAGCCTTGGGGAGGTCTGTCATAATTTTGAACAATCACTAAGCAGCCAGTCATAAATTGAGAACTAGTTATATTTGTCTACTCAGGAACACTCAAGTTAAATTAATATAGAATTTAATTGACTGTTCCTGAGTGAAGAAATGTAAGTTCAATTTGTCTCAGTCTTCAGCTAGATACAAACTCTGAAAGAAAATGAATTTCAGCATTCAAAGTGACTTTCAACTAATGTTCTTGATGCTCCCTATTATCTCTTCCTTAAACACAGATCACAATTCCAGCAGTTTTATGCTAATCACTCTGCAATATTGCTCCATGCCTTCAGTTTGAAAGGATTAATAGATTTTGATGGAGAACATTTTGTGGCTTAACAATGTATGATTTTTCTCTTCCCAACAGGGATTGGAACCAGGCAGTTGCTCCTTTCCACGCCTGTGTCCACTTTGTGACTGTGCCTGTACATACCAGCCCCCAGACTGCCAGAATATCAACTGTATTTGTTTTGAGATCAAATTGCGTTAAGGGATCTTAGCTTTCTAAATAAAAGAGATTTTTATCTGGATGCATGGAAAAATGTAGGAGACTGCAAGTGATGCTCAATACAACAAATTGTTGCTCATATTGGCAAAATTAACTTTTCTGTTGCCAAGAGATTTGAAACTTTGCACTTCTTTTTATAGCTTTTTTTCAAAACACTGATTTTTTTATGATTGTTTGATACCATGTTTTATATGAACTGCTGCATTTATAATAAATTGAATTGTCTATCCTTGTCTAATGTTTATATATGCATTAAAAGACTAGTAAAAACAATGTAGATGTACGGTAGATATGTATAAATGCAAACAATGAAGAGTTTGGGTGCCAATTTTATGGAAGTGCTTGGATATTCATATGCACTTTGGTTGCTAAATATGGGACTAAATGTAGGACTAAAAAGATGAACAGATCTGACAATTCAGTTTTATTCAACTATTATTCAACCAATGCATTTTTCTCTGCTTCCATGGTCACAAAAAAGTCTTCCTTACCTAAATCACTTTATTAGTTAAAATCTGGAAACCCAAATGAATTTTGCTTGTGGCATAAATAAGCACTCTGCAATTTTGAAATGATTGATTTGTGTGGGTCTGCAACTGAACTGGTATCTTGGAAGTCAAGGCAGCAGAAATGTACACAGAAATAACTGAAAGAATAATCCAGCTGGGAAGGGACCTTGGAGGTCTTCTAGTCCAACCCCCTGCTCAAGTAGGAGACCTTATACCATTTCAGACAAATGGTTGTCCAATTCAAAATCTTTGTGAACTCCCACATTGAATCTGCACATTATGCCAAGCCATCCAGTTTGGGTTATTATGTTGTATGATCAATACACAACACCACAGTGGTTTGTAAGCTGGCTTAATGTTTCATTATGATGCAGAGCTCTAGTTTATTCAAACTATAAATGAGTCATAACTTAACAGGATATGTGAACTATTCGTTTTTTTAACAAGTTCAAGTTTAAAGAAATTTATATTTTAAGCTCATATTTTCCTACCAGGGAACTTAAAAACTGCATTTAATAAGAAAGTTGAAAAGGTATATGGATTCATCCACTCAGATTCATGTCTGAACAGGAATGCCAAGCTATATCCCCTCCCTCCAGTCCCTGTTTGGTACTTTATATCACACCAGCTATTAAAAGTTATCTTGCTCTGTTTTTTTATCTTCCAATGAAAGATATTGAGGTGCCTCATTTAGGTAGCACGTAGGCCAACTTTTTTTGTTATGGCCAGAAGCAAAAACCTCTGCACCAATGAAGTTTTGTGTTATTATGCCAAGCTGCCCAGGGCCATTAATCTGTTTGTGCAAGGATCCAGATAGCCCAGCTCACATGTCTGTGACTGCATAATGCTGTTCCTCACGTAGGTAAACAAATTAAGGCAATGCTATCTTGGTTGCTGTCTTTGTAGCTTAGTCAGAATTCTTTCAATAGGTCAGATGTTGCTCTCCAAAGCCATGATTTTTGATTAAAAATATCAGTATACACATCAAATGAGCTACCATATATATATATATATATATATATATATATATATATATATATATATATATATATATATATATATATGTATGTATATGCACAAACCCACATATGTACTTTTTTCAGATCAGTATAGAAATATCAAGCATACCTTCATCTTTTCACGTGTATTTATGTACACACACATACTGAGCTAAAGGAAATTGTGTGCTTATTTGAGTAAAGATGGTCTGCTAATGACTTGAGGGCAAAACAATTTGAAGGGCAATGAACAAAACCAGGGTAAATATGTAACGATTGAGGATTAAGGTGTGAGGGCCTTTGGTCTTAACTGACTTAAAAGATTGCTGCTATAATATGCCTCTCAGACTGACATAATTAGGTGTAACATTTGTCCTTAGTCAGATGATCTTATAACAAAGTTAAAGCCCACTGAATTATGACTTTTTATTATGGTGACAAAGATATGCAATTAAAACAAACTGAGATGGTTATGTTCATTCCATAGGTAAGTTATGGTTTGCTTCACTATTGAATAAGTAGAAAAATATGAAGACAAAAATCAATGATACCAAACAGAAATTTTTAAGTTTGTTGGAAATTCTGAAATGGAACACCCTTCTCTTTAAGATCTGGAAACACCACCACCCTCAGCCTTGAACTTTTGGAAAGTTGTTAGGAATTGGCTTTCCCCCCAGGCACTTCAAATAGCTGGATAAATATAAGTTGTTGAATTAGGCGTCTAGTTTTTCTTGTTCATTGTATTGTTTTATTGTGTTTCTTATTATTGTTAGCCTCCCAGAGTCATATTTCACAAGATGAGGAGCCACAGATCACTTATATGAGAGAGAGATAAGATTTAGCTAGAGGGCTGACCCTGTAGGGTGATGATTAGAGATCTTGATTCTCCATTTCTAGAAGTCAATTGATTCTATATACTCTGGCCCTGCCATCTTGACTTGGTGCAGCTATTTGTAATTACTGCTGCCACGGGATGTTATCAGATGTCCTGCCTTTAACCCTGATATGTGAGACAGATGGGGGTCCCAAAGCCTGTGAACCTGCCTGGTAAATCAGCAGGGAAAATAAAGCTGATAAAATGTCATAAAATATACAGCATAGAGTAGAGTGAAATGTGATACTAGGGAAATCCCCTTTCTCCTTTGGGAGACAGATCAATATTACAAGGTGTACATCAATTTCACAAGGTTTGCACACACAACAAAAGGTTTAAAAAGTTTTTTTTTCTAATTTGAAGTAAACAAAGGTGAAGTTAAAAATAAATAAATGTGAAGATCACAAATAGCATCTGAAGAGAATTTCCGATTGAAATCTATGAGAAAAATTAAAATCCCGCTAAGATTTACAATCACAGATCTTGTATAGAGAAAACAGACCTGAGGGAAGGAAAGGGGAAAGAGGAGAAAGGAGGGGAGGAGGAAGGGGAGAGGGAGAGAAGAGACTTAGCTCAAATTTGTTACCTATTCTTTAAGATTAAATAGACCACTGTGGAAAAAATTCTCTGCTAGCTTCCCTGGATTTCTTAAACCCTTAATTCCAGCTTTTGAACAGTGGGCATCTGGGACACAAACTTGAAACCTCCGGCCTTTTACTCTATGGGTTCATCCATAGACTTTTATTTTAGTTCAGAAAATTAACATACTTATAAATCAAGTTCTATTTGATGACAACCTAGTTACAACCACTTATTTTCTTGGCAGCAGAATTAGTTTGCCTTCTGAGTTCTCACTTAGTCTTCTAGGCTACATGCTGGAGGTGTCTCATTCAAGTCCTGACTAGGCTTGGCCTTTCTCAGGATATTGGCTAACATAAAGTCAGCCATCTGAAAGTGAATTATAAAACCTGCAACTGGCATTTGTTTCTAGTTTCTACTGACATTTTTGGGCCTCTTAATAAGTTTAAACACCAAGGAGCGCTGGAAGTAAAGAACCTCTTTATATCTTTCCATATGACAGTCAGTCATAACAATCATCAGAAGTCAAAACGTCAGGATGGTGGTCACAACCATGTGGTCCCAACCTTGTTCCTTTAATATATTTGGCACTAAAGGGGGACAAGGCTGTGTGGAGCCATAGCCACTATTTTTAGTTTTCTGACCTATCCTACAGACACTACTGGACAATAAAGTTAATTAATCTTAAATACCAATACCAATAGCACTTAGACCAGTGATGGCGAACCTTTTAGAGACCGAGTGTCCAAACTGCAACCCAAAACCCATTTATGCATCGTTGGGTGCCAGGTGGGTGTGGCCCATTGGGTGGGTTGTGGCCAATTGGTTGGGCGTGGCTATGGTGGTAACAGCAGACTGGGTGGGACTAAAAAGTTCAATCAATCAATTCGAACTTTGCAAGATCTTTTTTTTCCCATGAGAAGTTGAAATTGACTGATTGATTGAACCTTTTTTTTTTTTTGCAGCAGAGGCCTAAAATGAAAAGGTTTTATAAAACCCACTGAAGGCCTAGGACTGGGGCGACGGTACGCGTGCCCAGAGAGAGTTCTGAGTGCCGCCTCTGACACCCGTGCCATAGGTTTGCCACCACTGACTTAGACTTATATACTGCTTCACAGTGCTTTGTTGTTGTTGTTAATTGCGAAGTGGTGTCCGACCCATCGCGACTCCATGGACAACATTCCTCCAGGTCTTCCTGTCCTCTACCATTTTCTGGAGTCCATTTAAGTTCACATCTACTGCTTCAGTGACTCCATCCAGCCACCTCATTCTCTGTCGTCCCATTCTTCTATTGCTCTCAATCTTTCCCAACATTAGGCTCTTCTCCAGTGAGTTCTTCCTTCTCATTAGGTGGCCAAAGTATTTGAGTTTCAACTTCAGGATCTGGCCTTCTAAAGAGCAGTTGGGCTTGATCTCTTCTAGGACTGACCGGTTTGAATACCTTGCAGTCCAAGGGACTCGCAGGCGTCTTCTCCAGCATCATAGTTCAAAGGCCTCAATTCTTTGTCGCTCAGCCTTTCTTATGGTTCAACTTTCACATCCAAACATTGCAACTGGGAAAACCATGGCCTTGACTATACGCACTTTTGTTGGCAGGTTGATATCTCTGCTTTTTAGTATGCTGTCTAGATTTGCCATATCTTTCCTCCCCAGGAGCAAACGTCTTTTAATTTCTTGGCTGCAGTCCCCATCTGAGGTGATCTTGGAGCCCATCTATTTGCCAGGAATTGAGAGGGCCGGATGCCATGATTTTGGTTTTCTTAATGTTGAGTTTCAAGCCAACTTTTGCACTCTCCTTCTTCACCCGCATCAAGAGGCTCTTTAGTTCCTCTTCACTTTCTGCCATGAGAGTGGTATCATCTGCATATCTTAGGTTATTGATATTTCTCCCAGCAATCTTAATTCCAACTTTTGATTCATCTAGCCTTACCCTCTGTAAGCAGTTTACAGACTCAGCATATTGCCCCCAACAATCTGGATCCTTATTTTACCCACCTCAAAAGGATGGAAGGCTAAATCAACCTTGAGCCAGTCAGGATCAAACGGCTGGCAGTTGGCACAATTAGTCTGCAATATTGCATTTTAACACTGTACCACCAAGGTTCTTATTGGCACTTAATCAGCAAACCAATGGCTGAGTGGACTGATACATTAATATTTACCAGTTAAAAAAATACCACCTATTTTCATTTATCTGTGAACATTTCCAATAATCTAGTACAAAGCTCAGGATTCAGAATTGTGCCCCTGCTTATTGGAAATATCTCTTAATAATCATATCACTAATTCTATCGATGGCTCCCTCCAGCAAAGATGAAGAGAAATAAATAGCAAAAAGCAGGAACACACACACATATAACATCTCAGAGGCCACAGCCAGACTACTAGCACCCCATGGTATAGAAGTAGCTCACAGACCTAACCAAACCCTACGATCAAAAATTATGCGTCCAAAGGACCCCCTATCTACCATGGAGAAATCTGCTATTGTTTATAAGATCAACTGCAAAAACTGCGAACGCAACTATGTGGGAGAAACAGCCAAACGCTTGAAAACTCGCCTCCACGAACACAAACTGGCCATAAAACGAGGTGAACCACACTCTCAACTTTGGATGCATATGGCACAACAAGGCCATCAGTTTGACTTCAATAACACCCTTATCGTAACCAGTGATGCCACGAAGGGAGGTCGGCTGCTAAAAGAAGCCTGGTTCTCGAATAACAACTCAATCAATCGTCACATTGACTTGCACCCAGCACAACAAGCGCTACGAAAATGGAACTCAAACCATCATCCTTTATATCACAAACCTTACAATCAACATCCACAACGTTCTAAACCAGGAGCTACACCTCCTCCCTACCAGAAACAATCTGATATAGACTACCCAGAAACCTCCCAACAACATCAAGGGGAAACCACACCCCCTTTAATTGGAGAAAACAACAATAATGACATTGGAGCGCTTAAGAAATTTGAGGATAGAACCACTAAATTTAGCACTACCCATAATAATAATAAAAGTGAATATCCCATACAGAGAGGGGAGAAAAAACATGTGATGACGACCCGTTGGCTTGATAAAAGGGAAAGTAACATGAGCGGGGAATCTGCCCAAATACCAACAGACTTTTGCTCACAGAAATGGGGGGGGGGGATTTAACTTGAATATTGACCTACGAGGGAAGATGAGCATGGAGGACACCATGATGGAGGAGGATGATTCAAATGGAGATGTGAACACAAGTGCTCGAGGAAGAAATCTTTACTCCATTCCCCCTCCCACCTATCAGCTGTTCAGCGGGGAATGCTGGCACGGTCTAGGAACCAAGCGCAGACGTCTATGGAACCCATTTAAACCACCTTGTTAGAAACGGTCTCTCAGCTCTGAAGATGTTGGGGAGTTTTCCCAACGAAAGCTTGGCAACCTTTTAATATAGTAAAATACTTTAATTAAAGTATTTTAACTTTAAACTCTCCTGGTGAACGTGCTTTATTCATTCCATTTATATGTGTGTGTATATATGTGTGTGTGTGTGTGTGTGTGTGTGTGTGTGTGTGTGTGTGTGTGTGTGTGTGTGTATGTATATATATATATATATATATATATGTATATGTATATATATAAATATAAAAATCAATAACATTAGTTATAAAATATAACATAACCTATAACTTCTTGAATACCTCATACCTTACAAATTTGACTACATATTTCCATCATACATGTAGCAATTATATGCTCCCTTTATTTATATACTTTTAATATTTTTATCCATGTATTCTATGGTATATGCTAAATAAATAAATAAATCCCCCCATCCACCCATCCTTGCAGCCACAACCTCCCCTTCCCCAGCTCGACCGCAGCCTCCACCTCGGCGTGGAAGGCCATTTTCCCACAATGAAGATGGTGGCAGCCCCTTCCCCTAGACCCCCCCCCTTGCCAACCCTCAAGATGGCTGCCCCACCCCCGCTTAAAAAGGGGAGGGGGAGGAGGGTGGGTGCGTCACTTTCCCATCAGCCCTTCGGCAGCTGCAATCCGGATTGCGGGCAGCGGTTTCGGGCAGGGGCGGGTCGTCTACCCGCCAGGACTCCCAGGCTTTCAAAGGGCAGGGCAGGGTCGGGACGAGGCGATGGGCGCCAGGCCGCGGGGGAGATCCAGGGAGGGAGCGGGCTGTTGAACGGGGTCGCCGTGGGAGAGCCCTGCCGCGTCCCTGGATAGGAGTGCAGGGAAAGCTGGCAGACATGTGCAGCCGAGGCTTTATTGTGGAGTCCCGGCGGGGGAGCCTCGGCAGGGCGCTCCGCTGATTCGGAGGATGTCCTGGGCAAAAGAGGCGCTGGCCGGTTGCATCGGGGAGTTACGAGGTTGCGATGCCGTGGTAGAGAAATCGCCGGGCGGGTGCAGATAAAATGAGGGATTCGGGGTCTATTTGCCTGGTGGAGGGGTAGCGCGGCCGGCTTTGGAGGCAGAGCTAGATGGCCTCATGTGGGATGCTCCCCATTTAGGCAGGGGGGCGAGGGCTTGTTTTTCTCTGCTGCAGTGGGGCTTGAGAGGGAGAGAAGGCGGGTCAATTTCTGATGTGCCAGAGGCCTTGGGGAAATAGTTTTAATTAGCTCAGAAGCAGCAGCTGTTAATTGGGGTGCGGTGGTTTTCTCCAGAGGACGACCTAGTAATAGAAGGATGCAGGGCAGAGGACTGAGTCCATCTGTGGCGGATCCTATTCAAGGCTTTTGTGGGTTAAAGGCTACGTGGGGCTTGTGACTCTGTGGAAGATAATCCTCTCCGTTTAGGTGCCTGTGAACCATGCCAGCTTTGTCTGTGAAAAATTAAGGCTTTTCAAATTTGACTTTAAAATGAGAGCACCCCGTTATTTTTAAATTTTGTGTGTGGTGCTGATGTCTCATATAATGCTTCATGTTAATTTAAATGGAGTGGAGATTTTGTAGTTTACTCAATCTATTCTCTTAATTTTATCTGAATATTAAAGATACTATATTGATTCCTATGTAAATAAATATATTACTCATATGATTGCATTGTATCGATGTTTTTCCGATGTAAGCTACCTTTGAGTAGCTGGTTAATTCTTTGATTGATTGTAAGCATAAAGTGATTTGTTATTGTTGAAAGTATCCCTCTTACTCCATTATGTTCAAACTAGGAAACATGAAAGACTTAATAATTGTTTCCCATTAATTATAACAATTTGATTGCAGAAACTTTATTTGCATTCCTGAGATATTACTTTTCTTTTGAGAAAATATTGCTGTGGTGTGGAAGTGTGTGGGAAAGTAGCTGTGGATACTCTTGGGAGATACCAAGTTTGAATAGTAGACTTTAGGCTGAAAGATTTTGGGGTGGAACTACAAAAGAAGTCCTGTTCCCTTGCAGGATCATACATGTGATTATTAAAGGTCCTACTAAACTACTGAAATGGCAAGCATTCAACAGGGTAACTTTCTTTCATAAAGCATTGTTAAATATTGGAGCAAAACTTATCAGGTTTTTGTAGGAATAACATTCAACAAAGAGACTGGTGGGTTTTTCCACCTTCAATGTTCCCTCAAGCCATGTCTGCTTTTGGGGATGCTCATGAATGGTATATGGGCGCTCTGAGTCGTCAAGAAGCAGCTGCATGTCTCCAGGGACACCGCCATGGGACCTTTCTGGTACGAGACAGTACTACGTGCCCTGGTGACTACGTCCTCTCCGTCAGTGAAAACTCCAAGGTGATTTTTGTATAATCCTAATATCTGGTGGGGGAAAACAAGCATGCTTGTGGAGAGTTAGCAGGGAGTTGCTGATAGATTTAGAAGAGTGACTTTTTAGGTGTTTGAACTTTAGTATCCAGAATACTTGGCACTGGGGCATTCTGGGATTTGAAGTTCACTTACCTAGAGGGATGTATCCTAGCTGGGCAAGGTTGATTGTTCTATCATGAAATTGATGAAGATTTGAGACAGCAGGCTTATGCTTCTTTGTGATTCTGTCTCTTCCAGGTGTCACACTACATTATAAACAGCCTCCCTGGGCGTCTACGGATTGGGGAGCATGAATTTGACGGGTTTCCAGCGCTTTTAGACTTCTACCGCCTGCATTATCTGGACACTACTACCTTGGTAGCTCCCTTGGGACGCGTTGTAGCCCCTTCCTCTGCCCAGCCACCTCCTGCTGGCGAGTGGGTCCGTGCCCTCTATGACTTTGTTGGCCGTGACCAGGAAGACCTTCCCTTCACCAAAGGGGAGCCTTTGCGAGTTTTAGCCAAGCCAGAAGAGCAGTGGTGGACAGCTCAACGTGCCGATGGGCGTGTGGGTATGATACCCGTGCCATATGTCCAGCCTTGTCCATATGCTCATCCCAGCAGCCATGGCGCCCCCCGACACGCTCCCATAATAGCCAGAGCAGTCCAACGAAGGGTGCCTGGTGCCAGTGACAAAACAGCATTGGCCTTTGAGGCAAGTCACCATAAGAGTAAAAATAAATGTTTAAAAAGGTCAGGATGATCTTGATCATGGAGGGTGGTGGGATGAATAAATATCTGGTTGTTACGTCTGTATATGAATGGGGATTTATCACTGGTAGTGGTGATGATATAGATTAATGATGAATCTTGAGCAATGTTTCTTTTGTTGCTAGGAGGCATGGAATTATGGCCTTTAAAAGTTATAATGTTGGGGATAATACAAATTATGCTGATACGATTATTCACCAGCGGCTTTGCTGGTGAAAGAATCCAAGCTACAGATTTCTGACTGCTCTTAAGGAGGCCATTGCAATTATCAAACTATTTCCTAGGACTGAGGGATGTGCAGGGGAGATAGCTTAAAAAATCATAATAAACGGAACATGCTTGGATTTTGGCATTCCTAGCAATCCAGTTCTTTCATGCTAGTATTTTTGCAAATTGGAAATATGCTGGCCTGGAACTTATTCCTCATTTGAAATGACCACTAAAAATATAAAAAGCTTCATCTGTCAGGTGTTGGGGAAAAGAGGTCATTTTTCACCAGCTTGATACCCAACAATTGTGGGAGTTGTTTGGCTGTATGTTTCAGGAGTTATAATTCCAGCACAGAAGTTAGGAAAGATTGAGATACTGGATAAGTACAGAAAGGTGGGCAGTCTTCTGATCTTGGCTTTGTGTCTTGTGATATTCCACAGGTGGGTGATCTCATTGCAGTCACCAAGATGAATGTCAATGGTCAATGGGAGGGAGAGCTGAATGGGCGCCGTGGACATTTCCCCTTCACCCACGTCAAAGTCCTAGACTCTGAAGAAACCAGCTGAATATCCAGTGGAGCACCTGAACTGCTGACCCTCACAGGATCACGATGCTCTGAATTCCCTTTGAACTTCTTGAACTTTTTGATGTGAATGTTAAATTATGACCTCCTCAGTAGACTCTTGTGATGATCCAGCAGGATACGGGCGCTGTGACCATCTTCACCTCCTCGACTTAGGAAAGCTGCTCCTTGATAACATTATTCTTAAATGCTATTGTAGTTGACTTGATATACTTTGACTTTTCTGGGCTTGTTCCTTTTTGCTTCCTAAGAACTTTTACTGCTTTGGCCTTGTGATTTTCAATTATATGCCCTTGAATTTGCTTCATTTGCATCCTATGACCTATGAAATAAGAAGCTCTGAGCTTTCATGAGGAACCCTTTGCCTTCCTGTTTCCCTTGGGCCTTGCTTGCTTGGAGAGAAGTGGCCATGCTTGGTTTTGACCAGATAAACAGAACTGTGCCACTTCTTGTAAGATCCCCGCTCAACTTGTTGTCTGTTCCAAAACTGCCTTGTTAATTAAAGTTTCCTGCTGATTATTTCTCAGCTGCTATGGACGTCTTCTGGGGAGGGGCTGAAGGATGGATCTGGGGAAAGAGTAACAGTGCTGCCATGGTAACTAGCATCACAACCCAGGCCTTGCAGGTTGCCATGGGGAACTGGATCACAGCCTATTGCTGGAGATAGGCTGAAGATTGCAGCAGTATGCACCACAGGTGTGGTTTGGGGCCTCTTGATCTCCACTTGTTCCATCAAGCCTCCCTTTCCATGTGTAGGAACAGCTCCTCTGGCTCACTGGTGCAGTATTTTTCCTTACTAAATTATAAGCAAATATACTGGTGCTTGTGACCTCTGCTTAGCTCTTTTCTCCCCATGTAATCTCAGCTTCCCTATACTGATTCATTTTGTGACAATATACATGTGCAGTATATTCAAAATACAGTGTCCTAGAAGAAACCTTCCCAATCTGTCATAATTCTCAAAATGACTGCAGTGGTCCCTCTGTGTACATGGCTGGGGGATGGTTGTGTCATGTGCAATTAATATTTAGAAACTAGACTAATATGGTGCATTGTAATAGATTGTCGATTACTTTGAAACAATCCAGAGACAAATATTGCACAAATACATGTTAGAGGATGGGGGCAATTTAATGTGATAGGCAGGGTTTTTTTTCTGAATTCCTCTAGGTATTTAAAAATGTAAGCAGGTGGCAGGCAATTTTTGTGGCTGAGATAGGCTTCTAATATTTAGAAGAGGCCCAAGAGCCCACTACAGGTATACATTTAATACTCCTGTATTTTCTGGCTCACAATGATAGAAAACCTCATTCTAAGAGTCATAAAAAGCTCCTGAGATGTATGCAATTCTGATAACCACAAGTTACTCACCTCTATTACATATTGTGTTTTCTCAAAAATAAGATCGGATCTTATATTAATTTTTGCTCCAAAAGATGCAGTAGGGCTTATTTTCCGGCTAGGTCTTATTTTCGGGGAAATACAGTACTAAATGGGGCTGGCTGACAATCTTAACTGGGGCTTATTTTTGGGGTAGGGCTTATATTACAAGCATCCTGAAAAATGCTAGAGCTTATTTTCCAGTTGGGTCTTATTTTGGGGGAAACACGATATACTATATATTAGAACAGTGGTTCTCAACCTATGGGTCGCGACCCCATTTGGGGTCGATCAACCATTTTTCGGGGGTCGCCAAAAAAGGCGATCTGCCATTTTCTCCCCTCAGGGGGCGGCGCGGCGCATGTGCGCGGCGCATGGGGCAGCCCCACCCCCATGCACACGGCGCATGCGCGGCCCCGCCCCCATGCGCGCAGCCCCGCGCATGCGCAGAGCGTTTGTGTGACGGGGTCGCCGTCGCACAAACGTTGAGAACCACTGTATTAGAACCTTTGAAGCATACATTCTGGGCAAAAGCCTCAAGGTTTTCAAAGTTTTTAAAACATTCTTGCCATTATTCTTATGTTAAGCCAACATTTATATTTTAATTTCTATTCTTTGTTCACAATCTAATTCTCTGGAACAAGTGGGAATGAATCTGATCCTAATCATCTTCAGGATAACTCTAACATTTGATCACCACTGTTGGCTCTATCCTTAATAATATGCATCTCTTTCTACTTCAGATTTTGATTGTAGATCCCAGAATTTTGTAAAGCTTTCCAGATCATGTGCCTATGTTAAATTTTTGCAGCAAATAAATAAAGGCTAGTTTTGTGTGTTGGAAACACAAACTTGCCAAGTATATGTTGGCCTATTAATCTAGATACAGTATTCTTAAGACAAATCAATGCAGGCTTAGTGTTATCAAAGGTTAGGTTTACTCATCATATTATTCCATTGTTCCACCCATTCGGGTTAATATACAATGCTAAATCATACACTATGATTTACCAATCACAATGACTTGCACATAGCACTAAACTATACTGTGATTTGTTTGCTTTGAGATCAGTGTGATGTATAAATCCCCCATTTATGGAGTCTGGCTTGGTGAGTTGTGTAAAAAATACGTGAGAATTTAAAACATGACCAGATTATCATAACAGCCCCTGTAAGCTATGATTTATTCATCCAATAGATCGATAAGGTGAAAACTTTATAGATGATCATATGGAAGTCCCTATAACCTTTCTGTGGCTAAATTGACCAGCCACAGGGAAATATTTTGCTCATGTTTACACTTGCCTCACCTAGAGATCTGCTTATGCAATGTAAAATGAGAGCACTTTTTTCTTCCTTCTGGCAAACATTGCAGGGTGCATTTCTGTCCACCTCATGCTAATGAAATGTTTGCTAAAAACCATTCATCTGACTTATAACAGCTGTAGTGCAGCCATTTCCTTCTCTCTTAATTACAGGGTGGGGAAGAATATGTATGTGTGATTTCTAGTTCTTATTCATAGTTGGGATCATGCAAAAGCATGTTTTGTTTTAATACATTAATCCTCTACTTACAACTATTCATTTAGCAACTGTTATACAATAGCACTGATAAAAAGTGACTTACAACCAATACTCACACAACAAGTGCATCCCCACTGTGATCAAAATTCTGGTTTTTGTTCAACCAACATGTATTTATGACTCCTGGAGTATCCTGTGGCCATGTGATCAACATTCACAATTTTCCCAGGCAGCTTCTGACAAGCAAAATCAGTGGGGGAAGATGGATTTGCTTAACGACTGCATGATTCAAGTAACAACTGCAGTGATTCGCTTAATAACAGTGGCAAAAAAGGTGGTAAAATTGGGCATAACTTACTTAACAACCACCTCATTTAGCAAGGGAAATTCTGGTCCCAATTCTGACCTTAAGGACTTTCTGTCAAAAGCTTGTTGGATAGCCATTCCAGTCAGATTCAGACAGAATCTATTTAACACACACAGCTGATTAATTACAAGTGCTGGATTCATAGTCTCCTATACTGAAAACAGATCGTTCACTTAGTGGCTTAGTGCAAGGAGTGACCTCTGATAAAATTAGTTTATGACTTAAACTACATGACATTCTGTGGTCTAATTGAACAACAGCTTTATCACAACTACACAAACTTTTCAGTTCCCTGGAGCTTTTTCCCCAAGAGAACTGGTGCAAATTCGAGGGATGAGAGGAGAAATTGATGCATTCAGAGATGCGCAAGGAGCAGCAATGTCCAAAAATAGGACCAGGTCATGCCTGTTGCTTAATATGTCTCTGCAGAAGCCTTAATTTATGGAAGGGATTAGAAATCTCGAAGAGTTTCTAAATTTCCAGTAGCCCATAATGTTGTAAGGTAAGCTGTCCAGAGTCACCTTGTGGCGAGATCAAGTGGCAAATAAATTTAATAAACAAAGCCTTATCCTCAGTCCTGAAATCAAAAAGTGAATCTTTGATCTGTTTCCTATCCGCCACTGAAGATTTGTCTTCCCATTTTTGCTTTCCCATTCTTTGGGCCTACAGAGGGAAAAACCATATTCTGATTCTTTCTGCCTGCCCTTCTTGTTGTGTTGCAGTTGGCAGCCTTGACCCATTTAACTCTCTGGTGGCTTAAAAATGCGGTTCCTCCCAGAGGACAGTAGGTGGCATTGACAACCTTGACATCCTGGGCCCAGGAGCAGAAACTGAAATCCAGCAGTAATCCAAGTGAGATACCAGGAGAAGGAGATTTGGTAAGAGGGTGGTGCCTTCATAGCGAATGGCAAAGAGGGGAAGGGGAAAACTAGGAACGGGAGTATCTGCTAACCAACTATTTCTGCATGGGGGGGGGCTTAGAGGGGTCCAAGTAGGAAGGGGTCTGAAGAACAGAAAGTGTGTTGCAACTGAGCAATGCCTCCTTGGTGGGGGGGTTGGATGGTCCCCCCTCCCTCATCTCGTGACCCTCTCGCTCTTTCTTGCTCTGCAAGGAATGTCAAGAGCCTCGTGTTTCACCTGCTCAGGTCCCGGGGCCTATATTTAGCCTGCCTGACAAAAGGTCAGGGGTTGAGGAGAAGGTTAGCCCGGCCCCGCCCAGTGACTGCTCCCTCTTTTTATAGCCCTCCTCCAGTCTTTGCCTCTTGCCAGTCAGCAAGTGCCCTCCGGAGCAGCCAGTGTCTCGCCAGAGCCCCCTGCTGTACCCACGGTATGGGGGGGGGCAAAAGATTGGGGGGAGGGAGATTTCACATGATAGTTTTAGAGGAGAGCAAGGTTGGTGAGAGCAGAGACTGTCAAGAGAGAAATCAGCTTTGCCTCGGCATTTTTCTCCATAGGAATGAGCCGGGGGATGGGGAGAGATGGGGGTAGGTTGCAATCGGGGTCCTGGGGAGGGTGTTAAATCACAATGGCTGTGCTGGAAAAATAGTGTCATTGAATAGGTTAGCTGCAGATTCACCGTGCAGGTTAAGTTTTCCCAGCTCAAAACTATCCATCTCATATTTTGATTATCTTTTTTTAACAGGACCCTAAAATGGAGGTGTTTTTTTCCTGTTATTTTTTAACAGGCATAGCTCCCTCTCTTCTAGGCCATTCATCCATCCTTCCCTTCAGGGATTTTAGTACTTTTGCATTCCTGTGTTTCTGTATGTGTATGTGCTGTCTATTTGAGAAGATTTAAGTTCCAGTCCTGTTTGGAATCGTGTTTCTCTGCTCTGACTGGGCCCAGAAGTTTATTGTTAGTGTCTCACACCATGCATAAGACAGCTGTTTCTTTCTCTGACTAGTATGACTTGCAAAAAGTACAAGTTACTGGTTGCTGGTTTGAGGAAGTGCTGCTCACACCATTTCCTGCTCTGCAGACCATAAATGTTTGGGTCTCAGTGTTTTCTCTACATTCTTGTGAGGTATCTAATCTTTTTGTCTGTAAATGTGTCACTTGCAACCTAAGTCAACAAATTTATATCTATGCTGCTATTTTGCACTTTCTCTTTTTTCCTTGCTCCTAAGCATCTTTCATCCTTTTGCCTGGATGGTAGGAGGTTTCCATGTGTAATAATTTATATTGCTCCTTGTAGAGTATCTGTAACTTGTTTGCAAAAAAATATATGGCTGAATATACACCATTGGAATATATAAAAATAATTGATTTCACACTCTAAGTATGTCCATACCTCAGTCCAACCCATTAAATGCAATGGATATTTTCATTTTTTTTTAAATCTGCCCATGGCTTTCTATCCTGCATTAAAATCCATTAATATTCCAGACTAAATATATTTTTATATCACTTGTGAAAACGATTCATAAAAATGTGAGAAAGGCTGTCTACATTTTTGGCTTATTAATTAAACCATTGGTTTGTTAGATCTTTATGTTATGTTAAAGACTCTGTAGTAGTACCTTATAAATGATCTATGTTGCTTTTATTGGCTTTACTGAGGCTGAAAATCAGGAGTAGTTTTGAATAACTTTCATAGGTAGCTCCTTTCTTCAGTTATCCTTGAGTCCCTGTCACAATCTTGGAATAAAACTCTGTATTATAGTTT